TAGTCCAAATACTTCTTCAGCCATTCAGGACAAGTCTGAATTAAAAAGTTCTTATCGTGTTTCATTCTCGCTTTGTCAACATCCCATCTCAGTTTGGTGACGACAGCCAGTGGGTTCGGAGCGACCCATGTCAGTGTGTTCAGGTCCAATGATATGAAATCTTCTCCATCATAACCAAACTGTGAAAAACCAACAACTTCTCCAGTCTCCTCGTCCCATTCACAGCCACTTATCCTCTGTAAAATGTGGACACCTGAGACAGAGACAGACACAGAGACTGAAGTTAACAGTGATGGACAGATGATTTCTCCACTGGAAAGAGGATCTTTAATAAATGTGTGTTGTGTTATGGTGCTGCGTAGTAATGTGATTGTTTGACTCTCTCTGTTATTGCTTCCAGTGTCTTGCCTCCATTGGAAGGAAGGTGAATCATAGCTAAGGCTCCAGTGAGTCAGGGAGCAGAGTCTACGTTGAGTCTCATGTTAACTTCCTGTTCCCGTCGTCTGTGATCATCATGTGACAGTAGCTACTTGTTCCCTCCTTCTTTGTTTCTGATCTGTTACCTTCATGTGTCTGCATTAAAACATCCCTGTTTACTGAATAATCATTAGTGGTTTCTATTGGAACAATTTCAAAATTGCAAAAGGTGGAAATCACAACCAAACTTTCACTGTGTGACACAGCTGATGCTATGATCGGCTAAATAATTCCTCATCGTTACATCGTTATTGTTTCTCACCATGTCTCCTCCTGCAGTTTAACTCTGAATATTTCATGTTCAGGAAAAATATAATCAGTGAATTAATGAGTAGTGGAAAATAAAGTATTAAAACACATGTATAAGAGTTCCCAATGAAACATAAAAACACACTGTACCATCACTTTGGTTGAGGCGCTGCTTCAAATCGGACATCCTGGCTTTGTAGACGTTCGGAAAAATCTCATGACACTTTTCACTGTACCACGCCAGCTGCCGAGGGTCGGTATCTGAATAATTTTTCACCCAGCCCTGTAGTTTTAACGACTCTTTGTCGCAGTAACCTGCCTGGATATCATCGACCAGTGCAACAGACACAACAGGTGGGAGGTTTGTGACTCCAGAAGACGCAGTGAGAACATACTTGAGGGAGTGTTTCACTGTGGGACAAACAAGGTTTTCGAGAATTAATGGACTTTACAATCATCATAAATATAATGTATTCAGTAGGATTCAGTTAAAACTTGTTTGTTGATTGTTTTATCAAGTTGAAGTGAAAGTGAAACTAAATCATGCAGGAGTGAGACACAGAGAAAAATACACAGCTGAGAGTTAAAGAGTTAAATATGTAAAACGTGATTCTACCTGCTGATGAACCGAGACAGAAAAGAAGCAACAAAAATAACTTTTCCATCTTGTTTGGATGAAGAAGAATAAAAGGTTTAAGTTTCAGCTTCTTAGGGGGTGGGGCTTAGGGGGGTGTTGTCACGTCAACGTCACCACGTCAAGAGACAGGGATGGGAGGAGCTATTGGATTGATTTTAATGGAAGCTCAGAGCTGAATAAACTGCAGATTAAGGAAACATTTTCACCACTTTGACATCACATGACATCACATCAGGAAAACAGACTATTTCTTCATGTTTGAGGAGGAGCCACAGAGTTCATCTTAACTGACCTATCAGCTTTCAGAAGAAACATCTATGAACTTACTCTGAGCGGGGAAAGCAGTAGTTGTTCTTCACAGCAGTGTATTGTGGGTAATAACTCATCTGTATTAACATAACAGGTCAACAAGTCTCTGTGTGATCATGTGCACAGTGTAAAAAAATGACATGTCATCCAGCTCTGAAGTTGATAGAGGTCACCTTCAACAGAGAAGCTGCTCTGCTGTTTTCTCCCTCATGCTAAGCTAAGCTAAAGTTGTCTGGGAGCTAACTGCTCAGAGTTGACACTGATATTGATCATCCATCAAACTCCTCTGTGAGAGTATTGAATAGTCAAGTAATATTCATATTACTGCAGCTACAGCTACAGATGAACATGTGAACTTGAAAATTGGACACTTTATTGAAAAGTGAAACGTCAGCACCAAAGGTAAGAACAACACTGTGCCGCCTTTAAGTTAAGTTAATAAATAATTTCAATAAGTTAAAGATTATAAGAGTTTAAAAAAGTGGGCTTCATAAGTTAAAAGGTTAAAATTGATTCATCTGTATTAGTTCATGTTCTGTGCTGCCACCTGCTGGTCACAGGTTAGTCTGCTGTCAAGCACATGCTCGTGATGATCGATACACCGATTTCCTTTCCGATCCGATACTGAGTAAAATTCAGGCTGGTATCGGCGATACCGATCCGATACCGATACTTTGTTCAAATACACCTAATGTGCCTGGTAAATCTAAAAAAAAGGAGTGTATTCCAGATAGCTTAAGAATACAAGACATCAGAGTCACTTATTTAGCTATTTATTTTAAACTCAGAAGTATACTGAGGTAGCGGCCTCATTCACAATATAGCCGAGCTATTACAACAACAGAAAAACCAGAGTGTTTGAAAAAGGTGTTTCCATCACTAATAAAAGATCATAAGTAAAATAATAAAACCATTAAAATAAATAAGAGAATAATAACAAGATCTGAATAGTTTAGTTACTTTCCACCGTATTCCTGTTATTACCACAAATGACTGAAGTATCGAAAGTATCGATATTTTCATTTGAGAATCGATTTTAGAGCATACAGATCTGGTATCGGAAGTATCGATATTTCAGTATCAATCCACACATCACTAGCACATGCTTCAGTTGATATCAAGCAGGCAAGAAGGACACTGCTCGATGCATGTATCTGTTGGAGGCTTCTCGGGCAACGTTGAGGATCGTAGACGCAGTGGTCGGCCAAGGAAACTTAGTGCAACAGATGAAAAACACATCAAGCTCATTTCCCTTCGGAATCGGAAGATGCCCAGCAGTGCCATCAGCTCGGAGCTGGCAGAAACCAGTGGGACCCAGGTACACCCATCTACTGTCCAGAGAAGTCTTGCCAGACGTGGTTTTCATGGAAGAGTTGCAGCCAAAAAGCCATACCTCCGACATGGAAACAAGGCCAAGCGACTCAACTATGCACAAAAACATAGGCATAGGTGCAGAAAAATGGCAGCAGGTGCTCTGGACTGATGAGCCAAAATTTGAAATATCTGGCTGTGGAAGAAGGCAGTTTGTTCGCCGAAGGGCTGGAGAGCGGCACAATGAGTGTCTGCAGGCAACAGTGAAGCATGGTGGAGGTTCCTTGCAAGTTTGGGACTGCATTTCTGCAAATGGAGTTGGAGATTTTGTCAGGATTAATGGTGTCCTCAGTGCTGAGAAATACAGGCAGATACTCATCCATCATGCAATACCATCAGGGAGGCATATGATTGGCCCCAAATTTATTCTGCAGCAGGACAACGACCCCAAACATACAGCCAATGTCATTAAGAACTATCTTCAGCGTAAAGAAGAACAAGAAGTCCTGGAAGTGATGGTATGGCCCCCACAGAGCCCTGACCTCAACATCATTGAGTCTGTCTGGGATTACATGAAAAGACAGAAGGATTTGAGGAAGCCTACATCCACAGAAGATCTGTGGTTAGTTCTCCAAGATGTTTGGAACAACCACAGTTCATCGGATACATTTGAGACAAGGACATCTAATATTGAGGAAACACCAGACTCTGTTCTATTTAAAACTGCCATTTCTAGTGACACTGTTGCCTCGTTTGTTGCAAAAATGTACTGTTCATCAAATAAAACAATACAATGGATGTAACAAAAAGTGTTACTTGTACACTAGAGGTACTAGAGAGGACTGTAGAGAGTCTTCAACACTCAACAACTTCCGTAAATCTCGGACTATTGAGCGCACCTGAATATAAGCCACACCAGCTAAATTGTACAAGAAAATAAATTTTGTACATATATAGGCCGCACTTGACTATAAGCCGCAGGTTTTCATGTTGTAACATGAGATATTTACGTACACAGAAATACATTACACGGAAGATGTTTTTTAAAGATTTAATTCAAGACGTGCTTTTTTTCAATCTGCCTGTACGGCACCAACACGGCATCCAACGCCGCCTCCAACGTCTCACCATCGATTCATTGATATCAAGCTTACATGCAGTAGCTCTATTTCCCTCTTTGACGGCCAAATCGATTGCCTTTAACTTAAAAGCCGCATCATATGCATTTCTCCGTGTGTTTTCCATGACAGTTCAAAATCAAAATCAAAACTACCGTGTCTTCTTCGGCGCATAATCTTTCCCCACATGTCTGTCTCACTTTTGCGCTTCCCGCTAGAGTGCCCCCCGGAGGCCGTTAGAGCGCCCCCTGGAGGCCTTTGGCCAATAAAAATCTATAATTTAGCTGCATCGTTGTATAGGCCGCAGGGTTCAAAGCGTGTGAAAAAAGTAGCGGTTTATAGTCCAAGATTTACGGTACATTGTTGAATAATCTGCAGGTACCACTTCACAATGAGTCTGTACAGTCTTTAATGGGCGAGTTTGAAACTGCTAAACAAATGTTTAAAGATATAGACACACCTTTCAAAATGAACAAATACTGAACAGTAGTACAGTACTACAACAGTAGTAATACATGATCCGCTACAATACTCACTCGGTGATGTAATCTGAAAAATTACTTTAATTTTACGCTGAAATGCTGTCTGGCATTAAACAAATTAATTCCAATTTACAGTCTTATTTCAAGAATGATTGTCATTGTTGTTATCTTGTTATAATTGTTATCTTTGAACATGTATCCATGTTATGAGATAAGGTGGATCTGCTTTTATGTTAAAAGATTCATGTTATATCGTGTTACATGTTATCCACTAGTCATAACTGTGTAATGTTTGCGTTACCGCCTACCATATGCAAGTATGATGATGTTAGTAATGCCTTCCATGTATAGTGTAGCTATATAGTGCATCACAAGTGATATCTCAGTTTACCTGAAGCATTCAAGAGTAGGAGTTAATAAAATTCAAATTTAAAACATTTTTTGTACTCTGCACTCATGCGTCGTTCTGTACCGTGCATTTGACTGTTGATTAAATGGCTAACATTTTTACATCTGTTTCTCCCTTTAATTTTTAGAATTATAAATGCCTGGTAATGTTTAACACATTAAGTTGTAGTATTAACATTAATTAGTAGTTTCTGGTCATTTTCAGCCACAGATAATCAGCACTTAATGTACATTTGTGTGTAAAATTACTTGACACAATTTGTGTGTTAAAAATGGCTCACACATTTATTGTGTTAAATTTGACACATCATGTGTTGTCCCTGAACACACTCACTACGTGTGTTAAAATTCTACACAGAATGTGTCATTTTTAACACATCTCTTTTTGCAGTGTGTAACTGGTAAATAAAATGTGAACACGCCTTTTATCACAGAAACCAGGAAATTAAACCAGGAAACATCATTGGACCGAAGCAAAACTTCACATCAGCTGATTCTCAGCTCTTCAGCTCTACTTGTTTTTCAGTCCAAGATGAAATTATTTTTGTTGCTCCTCTTCTGTCACGTTTCATCTCCAGGTAAGAAAACATTTTAAATATTTAAGCTCTTTGCTGCAGAAACAGTTTCATTTTCTGTCCACTGACAGTGATATCAACAGAGCAAATACATGACATTTCTTTGTAGACTTTATAGACTGGCTGAAAATCTGAACACCTTCTTTGTCCCACAGTGAAACACTCAATGACGTTTTTCATCTCTGAGTCTTCTGGAGTAACAAACCTCCCTGAGTTTGTTGGTGCTGGACAGATTGATGACATCACAGTGGGTTACTGCGACACCAACACAAAGGTAGTAGTAATAAAACAGGACTGGCTGAAAATGATTTTCATCATCTACCCTCAAGAACTTCTGCAGTACAACATATGGTGTTCTGAGAGTATGCCTGAGCTCTTCAAAGGCATAGTTGATTCTTACATGCAGCTCTTCAACCATAGTGGAGGTAGGTTACAATATGTATGTGCATGCTTCATTATAAAGTGACAAAATTGACCCTCTATGGTGACAGGGTGTGTGTGTGTATGTTGGGGTGGGGGGGTTGTGTGTGAAAATCTATTAAAAAGGAATTAGAAGCTTAGTGCAATGTCAGGTTGTGGAGGAGATGCCGTAGGAGAAGCTGCAGCTCAAGCAATGGGAGAGAGAACAGGTGAGGCTGTGTCATCGAGCAGATCCTGAACTGCACCACTGCCACCACCCTTGTCAATCTCCTCTCCACCCTTGAACTCTGCTGGTGGGCCAGTTGTGTCAGAGCTGAAGAATCATTTGTCTCCCAACCCCCAATAGCACTCACAATATCACGATACCTCAGACACCTCCTCAGTCCATTTTGAACTCTGCTCCCATCTGGTCGCAGGTACTGGACATTTAGATGGACGTATTAAAGAAGCTCCATCTCAACCAACAGACTGTGTATTCATTAGAAATGTTTTCATGTTATATTCTGTCATTACAAATGTATCAGTGTTTTAATTGCAGTCTCTTTTGTCTGACGCTCTTTCAGGTGTCCACATTGTGCAGATGAGGAGTGGGTGTGAATGGGATGAAAATTCTGGAGAGGTCACTAGTTTTATGAAGATTGGTTATGATGGAGAAGACTTCTTATCATTTGACCTGAAGAATCTGACATGGATCGCTCTGAATCCAGAGGCTGCCACACAGGAATGGGATAATAACATAGCAATTACAGAAAGATATGGGAACTTCTTCAATCATGTTTGCCCTGAGTCGCTGAAGGTGTCTGTGCAATATGGGAAGAGCTCTCTGCAGAGAACAGGTAGAATCAATTCAATTCATATTTATTTGTATAGCGCCAAATCATAATATACATTATCTCACAGCCCTTTAAAGGGGTGAGGTCGAAACCTTACTTTGTTATAGAGAGAAACCCAACAGTTCTCACAAAGAGCAGCACCTGGCAACAGGGGGTGGGGGGATATAATAATAATAATACTAATAATAATTAGTATTATTATTATTAGTATTATTATTATTAATACTGATTTTAATAATGTTGCAAAGATGGAAGAAAGCCCCTGAAGAGACTTGTTTTATGTGTGAAGTAAAAGACATGTCCATGTCCAAAGGGTACTGACTGTAGCACTGGAGGCCAAGGTGATGCCATCCAGAGTAACTATATTATCAGATAGTGTGTCTCTGAGGTGTTTAAGGCCAAGTACAATAACTTCACTTTTGTCTGAGTTAAAAAGTGAAAAATTGCTGGTCCTCCAGGTCTTTATGTCTTTAAGAGTCACATGACCTGAAGGAGTTTCTTATGGATCTGGGTGATATGGCCAAAAAATATTCACAATAATTAGTTTTCCCTGTTGATCAATATCAATAATTGTCATGGTATGCATTTGATACCTTTAAAACGTGTGGTAAGGGATAGTTCGGTTCTTTGACATGGGGTTGTGTGAGGTAGTCAAGCATAGCCCGATGTTACCTGCAGTAGATTCAGATCAGTGCGCTGCCTGTTACAGAGACAACAGGGAACACCGTCACACTAACGCGAAGAGAACATGTTTTAAATAGTGGTGTACAGATCCATACTGAAATATTGATACTTCCAATTTCAAACATTTCTGTTCTAGGATCGATTCTCACATTAAATGATCGATACCTTAACTCAATGATTTGGGGTAAATGTGTCTTTTATCATCAACAGGGACACAGTAGAAAGTAACAATGCTATCACCAGGATCTAGTCTAAATAATACCTGGTTGATAGGAACTACTTTACCTTCCGCCGGTCATAGTCATATGTACTTCAGCTCTATAAATACACGAGCCACTGAACAGAGTGTTACATTGATGATGGCCGAATGCAAACGAAATCGCGTGTGGAACTTCTTCAGACAAAAAATGTGAAGTTAGAATGTTTGTAAGAAGTTTGAGGCAAGAGTTTTCAAGTGTCAATTAACATGCATGCATGTTGGGTCCTGGGTATGACTTGGTATCAATGGTGTTGCACATCACTACTTTTAAACACTTTTAACTCTTTTTCACTTTTACTCTCTCCCTCCAGAGCTTCCCTCAGTGTCTCTCCTCCAGAAGACTCCCTCCTCTCCAGTCAGCTGCCACGCTACAGGTTTCTTCCCTCACAGAGCTGTGATGTTCTGGAGGAAAGATGGAGAGGATCTTTATGAGGACGTGGACCAAGGAGAGATCCTCCCCAACCATGATGAAACCTTCCAGATGAGAGTTGACCTGAACATTTCATCAGTGAATCTAGTTTACTATTTATTATCTCTTTCTCTCTCTATTTCTTTACTCTGCATTTTCTCCTGCGTACACTTCCTGCATGATTTATTTCACTTACCATTCAACTTAATAAAACAATCATTTTTCCACCTAATCCTAGCTGAATACATTCTATATTTTATGATGATTGTAAAGTCCATTAAATTCTCAGAAAACCCGTGTTTGCCACAGTGAAATACTCCCTAAGGTATGCTGGTCACTGCTGTCTTCTGGAGTCACAAAATCTCTCCACCTGTTAGTGAATGTGTGAGACCATGGTGATGATATTCAAAGGATTACTGCGACAAAAGAGTTGTTTGAACCATCGCGACTGGTATGAAAAATTATTTAGGATACCGGACCTCTGCAGCTGGCGTATAACAGCAGAAGTGTTATGACGATTTGTCCGATAACGTCTTCAAAAGCAGGTAATGTCCATTTGGAGGCAGCGCCCTCAACCAAAGTGATGGTTCAGTGTGGTTTTATTGTTTTATTGTGTAACTCTTATATCTGTGTTTTAATACTTTTTTCCACTAACTCATTAATTCACACTGATTATATTTTTCTAACATTGAAATATTTCAGAGTTTTAAAACTCAGCAGAGGAGACTGGTGAGAAACAATTAACGACTGTAAACGATGAGGATTATAGCCAGATATAAAGCATCAGTGTGTCACAGCGTGCAGTTAAAGTATTTGGTTGTATATTCCACACTTTGCCAATTTATGAAATTGTTCCAAATATGAAAACCACTGATTAGAAGTATATCAAAGTGCTGTGATGTTTTAAAGCAGACATTTACAGTAGAGTCAAACAGACTCTAGAAACTAAATGATAGAGGAACAAGTAGCTACTTCCGTCACATGGATGATCGACAGACGACAGGGAACAGGAAGTTTAACATGAGACCTCACATAGACTCTGCCTCCCTGATGACTCGCACTGGAGTAGCTATATTCACCCTTTCCTTCGTGACAATGGAGTGCAAGACAACTGGATACTCAATAAACAGAGAGAGTCTAACACACAATACAATTCTATAACAAAGCACAGACACAACTTTTATCAAAGATGCCTCTTTCCAAGGAGAAATCTCCTTGTCCATCACTGTTAACTTCAGTCTCTGTTCTGTTGTCTCAGGTTGTCCACATTTTACAGGGATGGTGGCTGTGAATGGACGATGAGACTGGAGAAGTTTTGGTTTTTCAGTTTGGTTATGATGGAGAAGATTTCTGTCATTGACCTGAACAACATGACATTGGTCGCTCCGACCCACAGGCTGTGTCACCAAACTGAACATGGGATGCTGAGCACAATAAAAAGAATAAGAGCAAAAGAACTTCTTAACTCGTGTGTTGGTGGCTGAAGAAGTATTGGAACTATAGGGAAGAGCATGCTGCAGACAAGTAGAATCACATGACCCTGATGTGTTTCATGAAACACACAATATTCATATAGACTACTCAGACTGAATTACCAGTGTATCATCACTCCTCTCAGTCTGACTTTACCTTCTTTAAGATTTGAGTCAGTCCTGTACCAATCAGTAGAGACGGAAATGTTCAGGTGCTCTGACACTCACTTTCAGTTCCAGACTGGCTATGGGTCAGTGGACAGTTAGTTTGAGAGTCCAGTGAGTTCAAAGAGTGTGTCTTATGGAGTTAGTTAAGAAGGAAAACGATGCCTGGTGAACCATAGGAAAAGGGTGAGGTCCTTCTCCTCATAGTGACTCTCTTTAGTGGATGAGAGTAAGTCTCCCCTCTCTGATGATTACCAGAACTTGCGGATGGGAGATATGTGTAGGAAACGATCCACATATGTTGGAGAATCATCCAGGTTTCAGAGCAAACAATTCATTCATTCATCAGAACACAATCTAACACAGAATGTGGTAATGGATGACATGATTTGGAGAAAATACATTTTAAATCCAACAGGTCAAAGGTCAATTCACTGGTGACATTTCATAATGCTTTTCTGTCAAAAAACCCTGGCATTATACAAGCACTGTAACTTCCAGGAAGGCAGAGACCTGTGACCATTTGTTTCCTGTAACGTTGACTGTACGCGTTGGTTGGAGGATACAACGCTTCATCTTGATTAGCTCACATAATTGAATCTCTTCATTTTCTTTCCTATCGTTACCTTTCTTGTTTGTCTCTTTTTTCATTCCTTTTCTCTCTCCATTCACCACTCTCACCTCCTCTACTTTCCTACTTCCTCTTCTCGACTCTCTCTCTCTCTCTTTCTCTCCTTTCTCTCTCTCTCTCTCTTTCCTATTCTCTCTCTCTCCTCTCTTTTCTCTTTTTCTCTCTCTCTCTCTCTCTCTCTCTTTCCCGTGCTCTATCTTCTCGTCTCTCTCTAGCAGTGTGCATACGTCTCGTCCTTTCCGTCCAGATCTCTTGTCCTGCGTCTTCTTCTTTTCTCTCATTTCATCTCGTCTCTCTCGTCTTCTCTTTTCCTATTCTCTATCCCTCATCATCTCATATCCTACTCATGCCCGCGAGACATCTGGTCTTCTCTCCTCGAAGACTCCTCATGTGTCTCTCCTCCGAAGACTCCCTCCTCTCCAGTCTAGCTGCCAACGCTACAATGGGGGTTTCTCCCTCAAGAAGCTGTGAATGTTCTTGGAGGAAAAGAATGTGAGAGAAGAGCTGTCATGAGAGACGATGCGACCAGGCAGAGATACTCTCCAACCATGATAGACTCTCTAACGCACTTAGATAGCGTTTGACAACTGTGACATTTCATCAGTCAACCTCTGTTAGTGACTGGAGGGACGACGGTACGGACTGTGTGTTGTCAAGCTCTCTGGTACGTGATAGTGAGTGACATCGTCCCTCAAAGACTGGACAAAAGCAGAGGATCAGGGAAGCAATGAAGGTAAGCAGTGAAAGCAGTAGACACTGCCTGTGAATGCTTTGACGTCATGTCTGTAGAGTTTGTTCTCTAAAAGTTAGCTTTGAATTCGTCTTTGCAACCAAAACTCATAAATTAACAGAAACAGTCGTTTGAAAAAAAGCGGTCAACATTAGACTCAGGACAGTTATGATGACAGCAAGATCCTGTGAAGCAGTCCTTTTTTGGATTCTTTTCTTTGAAAGACTTCAATACCTTTTAAAAAACGTCCTTCCATCTTATTACCATTTCCGTGCTGCTACTCATCTGTGGAGTATGATCTGTTGTGTCAGAGATTAGGTCAAGACGAAAGTAGTCTCCATCCTCCCTCTCTACTCCTACTCAATGATATTTGCCAGCAGCCTAGGGTAGATCTGAGGCGGTTCAGACCAGAATGGGATACATCTCATCTCTGCAGCGTGCTCTGGGTTCTTCTTGGGTTCCTTCCAAGGAGGGAGGCGCCCCATAAAACTACTCATGAGTAAGAGTCGCTGTCCTTGATCAGATTTGCAGTGAACCATTATACAAATTGCCCTTTCGACGTGAAGGAAGTTCATGACTGCGGCCACTACTGAGTCTCCCTCAGATTTTTTTCAGAGCTCTCCTCACGCTGTCACAAACCGACAAACAGAGTTGGTGACAAGGGACGACTGTGGCAGAGGCCTATCGCCGGCATGAAACATGTTTGACTTCCTTTCCAAGATATGGAACAACCTCTCACTTTGAGTTATACACAGGGACAGAAGGCTGCCTGAGCAGCTGGCCTAGAGCCCATATTCCCGCACAGTAGTTCCCACAAGAATCTTCAGATCAGATTGCTTCTCAATTGATTTCATACAGTAAAGCGGTTTGTGCTGCCTGTCCACTTGTGTCGCTTATTTTTGGGGGTGAATTGTTGATTTTTCCTTTAGTAGGAT